GGAGCGGGTCTTATTAAGAGCGCTCCAGAGCGCTCTAACGTGCAATGTGAACGGAAAGCGTACTTTGAACGGAAGTGAGCTAGTGACCTTCGGTGCGAAACATGTAGTACGGTACATACGGTTTGTATTCTGCGGGCGAAAAAATTGATCTGCTGACCTGAGCTGCCATAGCAACAAGACCACTTTGACTCGTGGAGCGGTTTGAGCCATTAAAAACTGCTCGGAGTGTGTACGCTCGCAAACCGTTCCTCAAGACCCGTTCCTCTGGAGCAGTCTAAGACCACTTTCAAAGTGAGTGAGAAAGGGGTCCAAGTCTCTTTAACCTATTCCTGGAATATGTGATGAAGGACATCCAACTAGATAGTGGTATACAGAAGGGTAAAATGCGTATTAACAACATCAGATATGCAAATGACACTACCCTCATGGAACTCGTATTTGAAAACCTCCAAATCTCAACAAATGAACTGGAGAAGGCATGTAGGAGATGGGGAATGAAAATCAATGCCACAAAATGCAAAGTCATGACAGAGGATCAACAAGATATTTCACTTAACAACACCAACATTGAGAAAGTGGATAAATTGGTCTTTCTTGGCAGCACAGTTCCTTCCATAGAAGAGGACGTGAAGAGACGAACTCACCAGAGATGAAAACAGAGGAAAAGGATATTTAGGTCCATTAGAAAAGAATAAGGGCATGCACTTGTCCTATGCCAAAATGGGCTTTTGAGGGGTACCTGAAAAAGTGGGGGCACAGCCTTTTTGTTACACTGTAAACTATATTTTGATCAGGTGCGTAAGCAGTGGGGGGGGGGGGGGGGGGGGGTTGGAGGTTGAACGTCAGCAGCTGGCTGATTCGTTGCGAACCCCCCCCCCACCCCCCTTCAAAAAAATCCTGCGTAGGCCTACGCGCCTGATTGTGATATATACCAGCAAAACAGGATCAACATCGCATGTCAGTACATTATCATCAGGAGCATTTGGGAGCTATACATATTGTGAAGAAATACCCCCCCCCCTGTTTTTCCCTTAATTTTCGTTTTATATTTGTCATTTAACAATACCAGGACTAGCCTGATTTTATCTTCAAAGAATTGTAAAGAAAAACTTGTCTTTTATGAAATAGGCGTAAATGATTGTTTACTACAGCGATCAATGAGCGTAGTAACGGCAGCCGATTAGTGCTATTTTTAGATTCATTCAAATACACAGATTTGCTATGTGGGACCGGGTATCTGAAACATCGTGTGCGATGTTGAACTAAGGTGAATAATTCTTTTATGTAATCACTTACCTTGTCAATGTTTCCTTAAATAGTTGCTTGGTGTCATATTTTCCCTTTTTCTGATAAGACTACTTCTTAAATAATGTAATTTAGTTCACTAAAAGTGAATTCCACCTATTGAAAATGGATTAGCCGGTATTTTAGACTTCGCGCGTAGTGACGTCACCAACTTTTGACCAATTAAAATTGCGGGAGGCTGCAGTATTTTTCTCAGCCGATTTACGGCCCGGGGTCCCAGTACAAAAGGGGATGAAAAATGTAACAAATATTATACTGCATCTCAAATTCAACATTGTAAGACGATCCCTAGTCAAGTTCAATTTCAAGTTCAATTTCAAGTTCCATCTCGTTTTCCATCTCGTTCCAGACAGAAAAAAGAGTGAGTTATGAAATATTTCTAATATTCATCTCTTGTTATATTATTGCATATCTATTCCTATTTTATATAAAGGGAAATTTAGAGAATTTGTCCACAAAGAATATTAATGATGAATCTAAACTATTTGGGGTTAAGCCCGACTTTGTATTTGATTGTTTGATCAATTGCTTCATGGAGTGGGAATTATTATCGAATGTTATTATTCGCTGGCTGATTTTAAAATGTATGCGGTACAAAAAAAAAAAGGAACTAAAGCAGAGTTTTGTTTATTTCTATTCCCTTTTATTCATTACGAAGTTTAACAAAAAAAGAACACAAAATGAAACATCCGGAGAGAGTGAAAGAAATAGGAGTGACGTAGTCACTTAAGGGTGCCTCATAAATAATGTAGTCTGTACTTGTAGATATTAGACAATAAGCTTTGAAGACTTGAGTTGTACTCGTAGAACTGTACTTGTACTATATTAGATAATAAGTAGACCTTAAAGACAGTAGAATGTGGAATTGTAGCTTGTAGATATTAGCATTGTACTTGAAGAATTGTACTGTATGAGTTGGACAGTAACTAGTAGAATGTTGTACTTACAAGTTATATATGAAGTACACTGAACATGAGTAAAGTACACTGTACAATAAGTTTTTAAGTGTAGGCCTACATCTACACTAGATAATAATTGGATTATGCTACTTATATTATTGCATGATAAGATTATAATGTTAGATTAAGAAATGGTAATGACATAAATGTAGATTATTACAACTTTTGAGGAGTTGTATTGTGCATGAATGTTACCCCCCCCCCCCCTCCCCCCTTTCCATTTCTGCCTGGCTGTGGTTGGAGACTATCCACCGTAACAATCTCGAATAGGGAACGTTACGGTGGATATGGAAGCTTGCTCGAGATGTTTATCCTACCCTTAACAGTTCAATCCTGAATAAGGAACGAATGTTATGATCGAGACCGTGAGCCTACATGTACCTTACGAGTTACGACAACAAGTATCCAGCCTACCTTTTAATGACCCCTTTAGATTTCCTATTTCTGTAACTCATTTATTGACCACATACATGTACTTCTACCGTAAAATGTTGTTAACAGTTGAACAAGCTTATATTAAGACTTTGTTAGTCTAATGTTATAGGAGATAAAATCTCGAGGCTATTTCATTACAATGTAGTTCGGGGCAAGAAAGAGGCCGGGGTGGTAGAGAGCCAGGAACATAGTAATGGCGGAGTTGGCGGGATGCTTAGCCGGATTGAGAAGTTTTATAAGGAATGGAATGTACCGCTATGCTGGCATAGGATATTAGGGTGAGAAGAATAGAATAGAACAAAGGTCTACACTTATATATTGCTTGGATCTGTTAGTGATACTGGTATTGGAAGATTAATATTCATACATTTGAGACACTTGCTCTTATCCCAGTCATTTCTAGACAAGTAGTGGTAAACCGTAAAGTTAGTTAATGTAAAACTAATAAGTGTACACTGTACGCATAGTAGGTTTAGTGACGATTAAATTGTTGCTATACACTGTACTTATTTCTAAAGGACATCCATGTAACCTAGGATCGTAGTTTAAACATGTACATGTAAATACTAAGTTATAAATAGTTATGATCGAACAGGTCACTTTTACTCTTCACGCGTTTTGAATTACTGAGTTTTACATTGTTAAAGATTGTTTACATTAATAAATGTTTTGAATTGGGTACAACCCGAATTTATGGTTTCCAAAACGAGAAATTACTTAGGCCTGGTTTAGTTGCACAGATGCCTGAATGAACTGAATATGACTGTTGATGTGATTGAGTAACTTAAGTAACTTAATAAGAGAGTTCGTATATTTCGAACAAACGTTCCCGTCATCGACGCTCAACAATAGAATATTCTTACCATGCTACTCGTGAGACAGGAGGCGAGGATGAGTGGGAATCGGAAGTATGTGAGATGAGCTGAGCGTCTGTGTTTATGTTGAATGATTGAGGTTCACTGAACCACTGCCTGATTGATGATGTTCACTGTTCATGTGCGAGTGCACTGAACAACTGCCGTTGTTAGGCCAGGTGTTCACTGTACACGTGCGCGCCCATGTACGCTGTACCTATGCAAGTTGTATGTGTGCAGGCCAGAGTACACTGTACGTTGTCTTGGATGAGAGTTGAGATGTATACTTGATTGAATGTTGATGTGGCCAGTTAGTATTCAATTAGGCTTAGTAACTGAGATATTAGATGGACTTAATAGTTAACTTACCAGTCATGTCCTGGATGTTTGATGTGCTGGTCAAGTGGGAAAGAGATGATGTATCGTGGTCGGATTAGGTGGTCAGTCCGGTAGAGAGCAGTTGAGCAGTCAGATGTGTGTATGATTGATTGTGTGTCATGCGCAGTGCAGTGTTCAGTTTACCCTCGCCCCTAGTGAATTACCCCCCCCCCCCCCTTTTTCTGTAATCGCAGAGCTCATGTGTTGTCTTACGTCACTTTGTATTCCCGTACAGTCGGTTTGATTATCAGATCGTCTGTGAGGGTTCATACCCCTATAAAAGTATGTGGTGGCAGCATTTACCAGTTTGGTGAGGAGGGTCTCACGTCACAATATGTAAAATGTCACTCCTGCAAGTTGTAATGAATGATCAGTTAATCTCATTATGGGTTTAAATATTAACCCATCAAATTGTGTTGCACGAACAAATGAAAGAAGACTCCTCCAGCAAAGCCCCCAGACCATGCAAAGCCAAGGAAGCTTAGTTCCCAACCCCCTCCCCACTCAGTGTTATTTAGGGTACGCATATGCGTGTTAAGCGACCCCCCCTTTTCAGCAAGTCCGGTGTGTAAAGTCAATACGGGTCGACCTTTTTCTTTTGTTATACAACTTTACAAGCCTTTTTCAGCGCCCCCCCCCCCCCTTTTCAGCAAAAGTCCGGTGTGTAAAGACCTTTTTCTTTTGTTACGAAAAGGACATTTTGGTAACACATACGCATGGGGTCCGTCTGTTCTCGGAGTGGAGGGGCCGGGACTTATAGTTGCAGTTTTGTACATTCACATTTGTGACTTTTGTGCTTTGTTTTTGTTTACATGGCTCTTCACACATGGCGAGTACATGTCAAGTAAGGCTTGTGATATTCTTCATAGGCCTAGATCTATTTCGTAAATTACCAAGTACATGCATGCCTCCATGGCCATGCCACATATGAACATGTCACACTGAAAACGCGACACAACTCAGTGTCGGCATCACGTTAATTTATTTCACAGCTGGGCGTATATCCGTACATAATCAAAAGTGATAACTCAAACTGGCATTCGACAAGTCAGAAAAAGAATATTCTCACCTCGGACTCGGTCGAGTCGATGTATCATCCAGGATGTGCGGAGAAATTACAGTTAAACATAGATTAATCAATTATTGCTGATTTCTAATCTTAGTTAGACTAAGATAACAATAAGATCAATGTTAGTCATGTGAGTGATTTTGAGCTAGTAGTAGAAAGTGCAAATGTGCAGACAAAACAGTGCAATGAAGAGTAGAGCACTAGAGGTCTATCGAGGTCTATAGGTTAAAATAAGGCTGAGCTACTGTACACACGTACACGTACGTATAGACCCCGTATACATAGCGAGAATTAGGGCGTGGTCTCTCTTCTTATCTGTATGGAAAAAATCTTTATCGTATATAGTCTATATCAGTGGTACGCTGATTTACGAATATAATTATAGGTCTACATGTGCATCCGAGAAAAACGAGACCGAGAATTATCGATGTTTTATCATAACTCAATCACAATTATAATTAATAAATGACAAATATTTGTAAAGCTTAATATATATCCTCCCCTTTTATTTGATGCAACTCATATGATGCATATTTCACGCACGAGCGATTAAAATCAAGTTAAAGAGTGGGAGCGGACGGTATTTGAATTTCAAAGAGAAAATCACATTTCTAGAAAGTTCATTTTCTGCCCTTTCAACCTCAATCAGGAAAAATGAGCTAGGAATAACAAAAGTCTGTTTGTTTAAAGTAATGCTTGCATTCAGGCCATATCTTCATTAAACGAATTCGTTTTCACTGGCTGCCTGCCGTAGCAACAAGCAGAATTGACACGAACTCCGTTTCGTTGACAATCAGCCATTGAATGAAGTCTTTCGTCTATGGCTGATCGTCAACAAAACGGTGTTGAGTAAAAAAAAAAAAAAAAAATACCCCCCCCCCCCCGTTGAGCAAAAAATAAAAAATAAAAACATAAATAGTGCATGCTCACTACCCCCCCCCCCCCTCCCCCCGCTCATTGATTTTATTTATTTTATTTCTGCATTTTTCCAAATATAAGAACAGAATAACAAAGAACATATAAACGTAAGGTATAATACAAAATATACAAATAATGATAACTTTTTTTTTTTTTTTTTTTACATAGGTCTACATAGATGAATAATAACGAAACTTAATATTTTTATAACAGACTATTATAAATGTAAAGTATTATCCAAACTATCAGTTAGAAAAAGTGCAGGAGACCGCAATCATGAGCGAAGCTTGACTATAGGATGGCGGCCTCATCAAGTCGCCGCTAAATTCTTCTCACGAGTTTGGCCGGCCTCCTTCGCCGCCGGCTGCATGGTTCCGCCCCTAGCTATATACCACTGAACTATCGCGCCTCCAATGACGGAGAAGCAAGTGAAAAAAAAAACGGCAAAAATAAATACACACACGTACTCAGCAATAAAAGTTATGTCACCTTTTCATCAGAAGTATGGGGGATACATAATTAAGAAATATCTTTAAATTAGATGAATTAATAAACTATACATGAACATAATAGTTATAGGTTGATAGGTAAATAAATGAATAAATGAATGAATTATTAAACCGCCCATTGCCTTGGATCTGACCTTGCGGGTGACCACAAAATTATTATGCCTTCCTATTTGCTGATTTCCATTAAATAAGTATAGGCCTACTTTTTCAAAGTTGAAAAAACAAAACGGCCAATCGAGTACGTAGGCCTATATGAGTAAAATTGACTATACTAATTAACGACGCATAGATTAGTGGTAATAATGTTCTCATCATGGGAATTCGATACCATTCTGGTGTTAACCAGAGGCACGGAGGATCTTGAAAGTGGGAGCGGGTGCAACAACAAAAAGGGGCACTTTGTGGACATACAGCAGGGGCATGCACCTACAACTGAGATAAAACCTCAAAGCGAAAGTATACATTATTGTTTAGACATTATTTTGGTAAATACCCCTACGTATACATTTTCATGAAAGTGTGCAGGGATGGTTTCAATATTTGTTTCTCTCTTGATATGCATGGTCCAATACACTGGATCATACTTTAATTACAGTAGGGTTAGGTCACTGTGATGGTCTGAAATAAATAATAATCATTTAAGATTGAACACTTGTGAGGTTGCATGCCGTTATAATCATGTAATTTTTGCACCGTGAGTGACGGTGCAAAAATTACATAATTATAACGAGCGGAAAAAAAAAACCTGGTGGGGTTTTATGCTCAATCTTGTTCATGAAATACTGGAAAGACCTTTAATAATTCAAAATATAAATATTGAAGCTTAACGCGAACGAGCTTATAGTTGGAAGAATAAAAGAAACAGTTGCTCTTATTGCTTAAATCGCTTGGATGTGATTCGGCGCAAGCAGACGTCTCGATTAACTTGTATTTCGCAATCTCCTGCATAATTTCATCCAGGCCATGCCATCGACCATGATTCCGTATAGCCTGGTCATGTCATGGGCGCGCGCGCGCGACCTTCCAGCTGTGCATTGTTTGTACCAGGTTAGCTTTTTTAGGGATATAATACCAATAAATGTGAATCATTTAGTTATTCTATTTTGTTAAAATATATAAAATTAAATATTTTATTTTATTTTGAAAGATAAAATTTAATAAGAAATTATTTAACAATTTGAAAGCAAAATCTAATTTGATTTTCTCTTTCGTGTATCAAAACGGCAGTCATTATTTTGCGCCATTTAGTAAAAATTCAAGAGACTCACCACCCGAAGCGAAATTCTCGGTAAAATAATATCTTCCGAACCAGAAAGAGAAATCTTACTAACTTGTATGTGATCATACATTGCCAGTGGACATGTGAAGAACTTTTCGTTACAAACTTTGTGAGCTAATCCCTAAAGACTCTATATCCTTCAGATATAATTTATCGTATATTTTCGAGGAGGCCGGATATTAATTCAGTGCTACGCCTGACGTTCTGCCGGCTTTCACACTGAACGCCCGCTGAAGTGACGTGAAGCGCTGATGGAAAGATCTTAAGATAGACAAATACTTTGACTTTGACAATTGTTTCCTCCATATTTCTGCGAATGATTCTTGTTTGGACGACATTTAAGACAGAGGGGGGTTGTTTATAGATTGATATGGCGAAAGTCCAAGTTACAAATGTCACAGTTTTGGACAATCCTGCGAACTTTCTGAACCCTTTTCAATTTGAGATCACATTTGAATGTGCAGAAAATTTGACGGAAGGTGAGTCTAGTCGGTCTAATCAATCTTTACTCCTAACGACCTAGTCTACATACATCATGCACATCATGACATAAGTCCTATCAACTTGCAACTGCATGCAGGTCTGCAGCTAAATATTTACTCATGTTTTTAAGAAATATTCAGGACTAAAAATTCATGCATCATTGAGTTTGATTGAATCACCGACTTGAGCCGAGCTCAGCTCAGCTCAGTGATTCAATCAATGTCAACTCAATGATGCATGAATGAACTGAGCTGGCTGAGAAGTGATAGAGTGAGACTCTAAAATTAAAAAGTCTCTAGAGTCTAGGCCTAGACTTGTCTAGATTATAAATTTCCATTTGGTTTGTCATTTGTTGTTTATTAAACAACTGTCTTCTCGGGCTCCTTAGAAAATTGATGTCTTGCATTACCCACGCATAGACAGTAGGGGCGCTGGTCCGAGAATGAGGATCGTCCTCATAAACAAGGATATCCTCATAAACGAAGACAAAATGTGTCCTCAAAAATAAGGGTCGTCTGCATTTTCGAGGACGTTTTTTTTCATCAGCGCTCTGGGGGTTTCATGTTACAGAACGCCCCGCTGGCGATGCCAAAAATGGATTCCCCGGGGGAAAATAACCCTAGTTGTCCGTCTACTTTTATGGGTTGTCTGTCTTCCCAAGGATTTATTGCTCATAATGTGAAGGTCTCTGTACAAAGTCAATGTAAATTGCATCAAGAAAATCATTGCAGAATCCGTTTTTTGCATCGCCAATGCGCCGATCAAAAATATGAAACGTCTGCAAAAATGCAGACGGTCCTTATTTTTGAGGACGCATCGGTCAGTGTTAAAGAAGACGATCCTCGTTTATGAAGACGATCCTTATTCTCGGACCAGCGCCCCTACTGATAGATAGCTGATAGATCTACTTTACTTGAAGAAATTAGGCCCGGCCATAGCTCATCAAAACACCACTAGATTTCATTCCTTGAACTTGACATAATGATTGGATTTGGAGAGTTTTGAAATGAAGTTTTGTTTAAAAAAACTACAGGAAAAGCTTTAAAATCTGCCCATTTAATTAAATGGTGTGAGTCTTGTTGAGATTTTGGATGAAGTTTGGCCTAGATCTAGAAAACAATGATGTAGTCTAGATCATGTTGCCCGCAATGAAACTAGACTTAAAGGAAATGTTTTTGATACTGAAATATCCATTCCTTATCAAACCAATCAGAGTCTCTGTAATTTGTATACTAGAGGCGGTCAGTGGAGCCAGATGTATTCTCAGTGAAACAACCGTCCATATATTATCAGAGACTGACGCTTAGTTTAGGTCTAGACTAGTTTTGATATTTTTATCTTAAAATGTTTCTACCTCTCTCTCTTCCTTCTTTCTCCCTTCTTTCTCCATCTCTCTCGCTCTTTCTTATTTTTCAAATCATAGATCTTGAATGGAAGATCATCTATGTAGGCTCTGCAGAAACAGAGGATTATGACCAGACGCTGGACTCTGTTCTGGTAGGCCCAGTCTCACAGGGCAGACACATGTTCGTCTTTCAGGTTGGTTCTTTTAGTTTTAATCTTTTAAGCCAGGTGTTTTTGAAGTCATGCTCTCAGATTTGGCCAAGTTAGTCCTGCAAATACAGTCTGCACACACAAATCTATACCAGAATATACCTTGAATATACCTTGAAGTCCACACCTCGCCATCGTGGTGATAAAGATCCCGTAGATAGTGTGGTGTGGCAGGGTTAAGGGGGTCCCATGGGACCCATTTAAAAACCCAGGTTGGATAGTTGTTGTTTGAAGCTTAGGAGTGCCCTTTACTTTTTTATAAATCAGATTTGAATTGGTGGATAATGTAAGGCAGCTGCTTAATAACTAGTATAGTATTAATGACTGCTTTGAGAAACAAAGGGCACAAGGTATATACAAATACGTGTGTGGAACTATGAACGGGCTGAAATGTGCTCAGAATTCATGTAATACATCTATTAAATGACTACCGGTACATGTATAACAGACAAGAAACAAGTCAAAGGTAAGGACAAGAATCAGTGCTTATCAGAAATTTTGCATGAAATACCATCAGGAAAGCTATCTAAATTTGTCAGAAATTAGCGACAAAGCAAACGCACCAAATTCAGCGCTGCAATGACGCACAAAATGGCGTAGAATTCAACTTTTCATCCACCAAATGAATTCAAACACTTGCATTATACAATCTTCAATACCTGTATCACCGTTATCGCAAGCAATACAAATCACAATCTATATCTAGACCTAGATCTATGTCTAATAATAAACGTAGGGCCTACCCTGTTGGTGTTCTTTCTGTCTAGCGACCAATTCTTTGCACACGCACAATGTATGGTAACCGCGATCGCTCAAACCAGTTTTTTACGCAAGGCTGAACTATTCCCGGTAACTTGAATTTTACCCTCAAACTATTACATGGGCGTGGCATTTTACGTTTATTTACGGGAATGGCGAAAAACCATGACTGCAATTTCGTCCAATCAGATGGCTGGATTTCATGAGTGAGGTATATAATCTATTATAACTCATGATAATAAGAATAAAATAATACTGCGGACTGATGTGTAAATTCATTATGGAAAACAAAAAGCTCTACATTGAGGAAATAAAGAAGAGCTCTGGCAATATATTTTTAAATTTTTTAAAGATCTAATTGAAAGGAATTTGTGCTTTAACGTAAATTTTCAATAACAAATAGTATGTGAATAAAGTGATTTTTGTTCTGTAATGTTTTGTACAAAATGATTAATGAAACCTGCTTTTCGGGGGAAGATGGTGTCTGGCCAGGGAAATGCTGTACATGTACATAGTCGAGCAGAATTTTCTTTTTTAAGTATGCGTAAAATTTGAATATGTTAGTAAACCGGTCTATTCCACTGCTCCCTCATTTTTTCTTGCAGGCTGAGCCACCCAAACCCGCCCTGATTCCCCAGGGGGACATCTTGGGGGTGACAGTCGTCCTCATCACATGTTCCTACAGAAGTCAGGAGTTCATCCGAGTGGGTTACTACGTCAACAACGAGTACTCCGACCCGGAGCTCATTGAATGCAACGAATCGGAGAAGCAACCTACCGTCCCTCAGTTTGATAAGGTTTGTTATTTTACTCTGCCAGGAAAAAAAACAGCTTTAGGCTTGTATGATCATCTCCATACATACATACATGCATCATGATAAAGTGCGATAGGTAACTTGGAGAAGCAACCTACCGTCCCTCAGTTTGATATTAAATGTTTTTTGTTTTTACTCTTCCAGAAAAGAAAAAAACTTTAGGCTTGTATAATCATTTCCATACATACATGCATCATGATAATGTGCAATAGGTAACTTGGAGAAGCAAACTACCGTCCCTCAGTTTGATAAGGTTTGTTATTTTACTCTTCCAGGAAAAAACACCAGCTTTAGGCTTGTATGATCATTTCCATACATACATGCATCATGATAATGTGCGATAACTTGGAGAAGCAACCTACCGTCCCTCAGTTTGCTCAGGTTTTTTGTGTTTACTGTTCTAGAAAAGAAAAAAAACTTTAGGCGTGTTTGATCATTTCCATACATGCATCATGATGATACGTGATAGATGCCAACAAGTTCCATGAAGCAAAATTGAATATAAACAAAAATTATATCAATCAGATATGTCTCCTCTCCAGCAGTAACTTATTGCTTTTTACTCTCCCCTTCAGAAAAATAGCTTTAGGCCCGTATGATCATTTCCATAGGTGCATGTTAATGTATGATAAATGCCATCAAGTTCCGTAAAGCAAAATTGAATTGAAAAAAAACTACTGGTATATCAATCAGATATTTCTCCAGCAGTAAATTATTGCTTTTAACAAAGATACATGTACATATTGTTATAAAGAGTTTTATAGTGCCTTGATGTGCTATTGACAGAATTGATAAAATAAATTATATTGAGCATACAAACTGGAACTCCCTGGCAGTGTAAAATACAAAGAGAAAGTTACTTCTCCTTTTTTTTGTAGAATCAATGAATGTCAATCACTTGATTGAGGCTAAGGTCAACAGATCTTTGAACAGCATCAATTTTTTTTTCCTTCTCTTTTCTGCTTCCATTTAAAACAACTTGAATTTGGCATAAATATTCATAAATGAACGACACACGCCTTTAAGACTAAGACAACAACACAACAACAACACACATATTCTACATCTTATTTTCATCAATTTAAGGTGAGATATCAGTTTAGGACCAGATTGAAAACGGACAGTGCTTGATACTAACAGGTACCCGAGACACATGATGGGCACCCAAAATAAAATTCCAGAGCCCCCAATAAAAAAAATATAGAAATAAATGACATAGGGCTCATGCATACCAGTACAGACCCCCCAAAAAGCGCAATCTAACCAAAAAAGTAAATGTGAACCACTAAGTGAAGTTGTGACTTGTTGATCGAAACAAAGGTCTTATTATTAGGACAAGCGTAAATAGTATACGGGAGTGGTGGGTGATTTAGCTGTGGTAAGTTAAAAAGGAGCTCTGGTAAAAAAATCATAACAAAATAGTTAAAGCCCTAATGCACTACTTATGTTATAGCTACTTGCGCCCTTTATATAGCAAACAATGCCTAATCGGTGCCTGTTGGTCCCCCATGATCCCCCTTTTTCTTATGTTAATTGAGAGTTGATTTGATGAGATAACCTCCTGTGAGTTACCTTGCAGGGAGGTCTAATCCCCCTGGCCAAACTTGTGCAGACAGGCTCTAAATATCATTTTGAGAAAACACTTGTACAACACGAAATCCAAAAGTAAGTCCCGTGAACAGAAAAGTATTATTTACACGTACTGATTAGGACTATAAAGCATTGGCAGATGATTAGACCAGCGTTTTGTATCTAGCAAAAAAAGTGCATTTAGTGATTTTAGTCATCACAGAGTAAAAGAATGTGCTAGAATATTCAATTAATTTTGCTCACTTCACTTCACTTCATTTTCAGGTCATGAGAAACATTCTCCACTCCAAGCCCCGCGTGACCCGTTTCACGATAGACTGGGACGACCCACCCCTCGTCGACTCAGAGAACATCGCCCCCACGGCGCCCAACATCCAGCAGGAACAGTCGACGTCGTTATCGAACGGCGCCAAAGACCACATGATGAAGGCCGGGGAGTACGTTGCCGGGCCAAACAACACGGACAGCAACAGCAGCATTCCCGATTACGTCCAAGACATGGAGTGTCATTGAGATACGTGCAAAACTAGCTCAGTTAATTGCGAAACGAACCAGAAACTTTTTTGGCATGGAACATTTTCATTTTCATGCCGGTTCACGAGTGAATGATGCCAATGATTTTTGCTATCCAGGTGAATTCACGGGTATCGTTCACTCGTGAATTGGCGTGAAACATTTGCGCATTGTTATTCGGGACAAGCAACATGCGTCAATTGCTGAATTGTGTTGTTAGTCATTCTTCTTGCAGCTTGCATGACCTTTCCAGCAATCTAGACATTTCGTGAAAATTTACAAAAGTTTCTGGTTTTTAAAGTATTAATATTTTGTAAGACCTTTGTGTGTGGCCATGGTGTAAGAATGCTTACATTACACTGTTGTGAAGGACTTTGCATGTTACTTTCACCGATGCCATTTATCTATAGGTGCCAAGAAGCATATTATGCAAATATCTAGCACTCAAAATCCTTGTGATTGTATTTATTGGATACAGAATTGTCCATTTTTCGGACTGGTGGGTATGGTTTTCTAACTTTTCATTTGTTGTTTCTCATCACATTAATTAAACGTCCTTTGGCATGACATTAATCCTTTTTTTGCCACTCTCCACTCAGGTGTTAAATGTACCCGGTAGGATGCAAAAGTCATTGTTTTTTAGCTCAGAATTACGAGCGTCTGTTTATAAATGGCGCCTGGCTAGAATGCCTGAATCCGATGACTGAGATAATATATATCTTAAAAGCACTTAAGTAGAGACACCAATGATGTATTAAGCGCTATATAAACCTAGAATATAATTATTATTATAATTATTATCTCATCATTTTGGCTTCCAAGAAATATGCTCAGGGTTAACGTGGCACACCCATGGGGCATTTGTGTAGTGCACTGTTTTACTCCCATTTCCAACATGATTGGGACCTATGTGGGACCATACGACTCCATGTTCAGCTTATGGAATAGGTATTTATTGTAAACGCATTCTATGATGTGTTTGCCTGTAAAGATCTTATAAATTTACCCGTCCATGCACTTCTGTGATGATGTTATGGCTCGTTCAGAGTGACAGAGGAAATCAGCATATTATTTTTAAAACGTCATATATATATATATATATATGTGTATGTGTAATTGCGCACAACATGTATGAGACAAAGGTCCTGTGGATACTCATTCTCTGCGTTTCAAGCTACAGTAACGTGAAACGTCTTCTTTTATGTCACTAGAAAAAGGGTCCGGTTTTCTGCGTCGCGTGACTAAATCTGGAATAGAGGAGCAAATGTCTATGAAGTATGACGTGCACCTTCTCCTTGAAGTTGCAAATTTCAGGTGACAAAAATAATTTTCATGGCACAGAACATGTAGAAAATCAATGGCATAAAGCCAAAAAAAAGTTCATGTTTATGGCTTAATATTTGAGTTCATTCTGTTGAAAAAGTAGCAAAAAGAAAAAAGAAAGAAAGAAAAGCATGAAATAGTGCATTTATTGTTTGTGTAATTGTGCAGTGAGTCTAGTCTTGTTTCAGTTTTCAGTGTTTTATATCAAATATGTTTCAGCGGACAAAGTTCATTAAAACATGGTGCCCTATGAATATACATGCAGTGAATTCATCCCACATGTATGTATTGAAGATAATTTTTTCTTTCTTTATTTTAAACATGAAATCATGGGAGTGATTGCTTTCATAACCCGGTATGACATTTCGAGATATCTGTAATATTGAACAACTACGACAAGTACCAGTACAGAGCATGTTAATATTGAATTTAATTTAAGACTGTATGTTGTATTTTCAAATGCTGCAAATTAACAGACTGAATTTCACAATAGTTTTGATCAAGATACATGTATAAGGCAATTGAAGTACATGTGGTACATAGAAAATGCTGGTTGTACAGTATGTAACTTGGACAAGTCGGACAGAATTAGTGATTTATTTGTTTGTCCTTCACAACTGTTGGAATGAAATTTGTAATAAATATATGTCGTTATCCTCCCAAATTAACCATAATGGCATGATTGGCATCAATTGAAAAGAAATATTTGAATGGTATCAAGTTCTCATACAGAACCAGTATTGATAATGATAACCACAACTTTTTCAGATAACATTGCAATACTGTAGGTAATGTTTTACCATCAAATTGGGTTTTGTGATATTCAACATTACAACACAGGAGTAAACTTAATTTGGAAGTAGAAAGTGTATAAATGTCCAGATGGTATTGTAAAGAAAACTTTTGTGAAAGTGCATGCACTTCCCTCCCTGCCACTGTTTTGTATTGTAAGACATTCTGAACTTATTGCATGCTGGGACCCCCTGCAAACCTAATCTTAGAAGAAATCGCAATGGTGCTGGTCTGCAAAATGAAACCTGGGAACTGTCTAATAGCACAGAAGTTCCCATCGATCATTGTAAATTTTATATTTTTCTGTGAGGAGCCAGAAGGGCTATAACTCAGTGTAAAACGCCCTTCTGGTTCCGAAAATACAATGTGTAGGACATCATAATACATGTACATGTGAATGCTAAAGAGATTGAAGTCTCATTCGATTTGGAACATTGTTGGACTGAGCTCTGTACATGGTCTTTCTTCGCTCTGATCGAATGTGAAGTACATGCATTTGCTTGTGTATTCTAATTCTATAAGCCAGTCGGACTTCAGATTGTATGCTGACGGATGGTTTATATTCTGCACCTCGAGTCCTATGCAAAACCTTGGTAGTATCACTTCATATTAACTACGTGTATGCATGATAGTTAGATATTTGGGGGGATGTTTACGGTATGATCTTTGAAATTTCTCAAACTTGGAACTTAAAAAAGGGCAATCCTTGAAAGAGCGAGAGAAATATCACAAAAACATGTGAATGCGTGTGTAGTGATTTTGCAAAATTTGGGTGCTTAAAAAAAAATATGCATTACCTAAACTCAAAACCATGTTTTATTCAAATCCCATATTGTACCTGATTTTATGGAAAAGGGGTCATATTATGTGGATATTTTCTTAAAAGTATGTAAAAAAGGGGTCATTTTTTACTTGGCTAGTGATCATGCATTACTCCTTTGAATATGAAGCGACCGCACAGGGTGCATAAAGCAGTCAACTTGATGAGGAGAATTTAATTGTTCCATTACCAAACCCTTCGGCATGTACCATTGCTATTTTATTCTCAAAAAGAACATTTCATGGGTCAAAAGTATTGCATTTGAAGGCCAAAGAGAGTGAGCTATTATTAATTATGAGAACACTATAGTTTTCTGTACATACTGTAAATCATTTCTTTTTGTACATGTTAATAAAGATCAATAAAATGTGGTCAAAGAAGAAAGATGTCAAGATGATTCATATTTTTTATGCCTCCGCCACCGAAGGTGGTGCCGGAGGCATCATGTTTTCGGGTTGTCCGTCCGTACGTCCGTACGTCCGTACGTCCGTCCGTACGTCCGTACGTCCGTCCGTACGTCTGTACGTCCGTCCCGTTTGACCGTTATCACAATATCTCAAGAACCATTTAAGATTTAAACTTAAGACTCGGGAATAGTATTTATCACCATAGGAAGACGATCTGATTAGATTTTGGAGTACGTAGGTCAAAGGTCACAGGTCACAGAGGTCAACTTACGAAATTCCTTGTATTGAGTTTGTTAGCGCGATATCTGAAGAACCATTTGAGATTTAAACTTCAAACTTAAGGATAGTATGTATCACCATAGGAAGACGATCTGATTAGATTTTGGAGCACGTAGGTCAAAGGTCAAGGGTCACAGAGGTCAACTTATGAAATTCCATACATTGAGATTGTTATCATGATATCTCAAGAACCACAGGAGATTTAAACTTCAAACTTAGTGATAGTGTGTATCACTATAGGAAAACAATCTGATCACATTTTGGAGCACGTAGGTCAAAGGTCAAGGGTCATAGAGGTCAACTTATGAAATTCCATACATTGAGATTGTTATCATGATATCTCAAGAACCACTGGAGATGTAAAAACTTCAAACTTAAGGATAGTATGTATCACCATAGGAAGACGATCTGATTAGATTTTGGAGCACGTAGGTCAAAGGTCAAGGGTCACAGAGGTCAACTTATGAAATTCCATACATTGAGATCGTTATCGCGATATCTCAAGAACCACTGGAGAATTTTCACTTCAAACTTAATGATAGTATGTATCACCATATCATAATATCTCAAGAACCACTGGATATTTAAACTTCAAACTTAATGATAGTGTGTATCACCATAGGAAGACAATCTGATTAGATTTTGGAGCACGCAGGTCAAAGGTCAAGGGTCACAGAGGTCAACTTATGAAATTCCATACATTGAGATTGTTATGATATCTCAAGAACCACTGGAGATTTGAACTCCAAACTTGTTTAAATTGCTCTATGGCGGAGGCATCATTTTTGACTGCGCGCAGTCAAAATTCCATCTAGTTTTTATTGTGCAACAGGTTAAGTGAAAGTGGTGATGAAAATGTCTCTGTAAATGCTCTGAACTTGAGCCAACCGCTTCGTTTCTGTGCGACTTTAAGGTACTAAACATTCTCCAAAGATATCTAAGGAAGACATCGTAAAGAGATTATATCATGAGATTATATCACGGGAGAATGTGCCACAGGGTTGGGCGGTAAATTACGGTGGTAAATACCGGTAAATACCGTCCGGTAAATAAGATGCGCGTCTGGTAAATATGTAAAAAACAGGAAATATGATTTTAATTATCTATTTATAAATTAGCCTCATAACTGAAAATATTGTTCTAAAATAATTAGGAGCACAATACTCATAGAAGGAACACACAGATTTATAAAATCCTCACTGCATACAAAATTGTACACACCCAAACAAATGACATTTTGTGCTTATGCTAATTAATAGGTATTCATGAATATGGTAATTAGCAACCCGATTTTGTTCAATTTTTCACTGATTTTATTCAAATATCTTAAACTTTACAATAAAAGTAACTTAGTATGAAGGTTTTGGTTCCCTTTAATGAAGAACATCATATCTAGATTAGGTGTATATTTGGTATCTTTTTCCTGTATTTTTTTCCAGCATTACATAATTACAGACATAGACAAACACACGAACAAACACACGCACACACACACAAATAGTACACACAAGAGCAACCATACTCACCACCATTGTTATTATGTTCAATATTGGACAATCCCTATGAACAAGTGAGTGGAAAAATATATTTCCCGATATTTCCCGGTATTTCCCGGTAAAAAGTGGTAAATACCGCTTATTTCCCGGCGTCCGGGAAATAAGCCTCCGAAGCGGGAAATATGCCAACTGTGATGTGCCATAGGGCCTACAGTGAAACCTCGTTATAACGAGGTCCTTAGGACCCTTTTTGTATCAGGAATCTTGTTTTATCAGGATAAAAACTAAAGAATACAAAAAGCTGGGACCAGTAAAATCACCTTGCTGTAACAGATACCTCGTTATAGCGGAGCTCTTTACAATGAGGTTCCACTGTAATACTAGTAGGTTACAGTACAAAGAATGGAAGTGATTGGCTCAAGATAATTGGACTTAAACAGACAATTGTAGAAATCTATGATAAGGTCACTAAACCTGTCATTTTACAGATCACTGTTGTAATGATAATGAGAAATACTGGTCATGAAGAGATTATATGAATTGTCAATTGTTATAATGACATGGGGTGGGGAGCTTTCTTTTGTTTATTTTTCTTTATTTCATTGAATTCCACCCCTAGTTGCCTTTTATCCTTTATTTTTCATTCTTTCTTGTCACGGTTTCGGGGGGAGTCGGACCCCTGCCCCCCCCCCAAAAAAAAAGTACAGAACTGGACACTGATACAAGTACATGAGATTCAAAACTTAGTTCAAAATTGTGAACTCTTTCTAGTCATAATTGAACTATGAGAGCCTTTCCAGAGTACTCCTTCAAATGAGAAATTGCTATAATTTTTCAAATGGGGGGGGGGGGGGGGGGAGAAAGAGTTCAGAAGTAGATGTATTTTACTAAACCACATTTAGAAATTCTTATCACTAAATAAGAGATTTATCCCTCATAGGAGATTTTTTTTTTAAATGATGAAATATTCTTCTTGACTGTAAGGTCCCCTTCTGCTGGTGTGGTGTGCCATTTTTAACCATCGTTACCAAGGCAAATCAATGACCTCATCTTTTACTCTCTTTTCCATCCATCTCTTTCTCTTCATAGTTCCTTCCTTCTTTCACACATCCCCAGTTTCTTTACCATCTGCAACATTTGCTGAACAGCAGGTTGATTACTGTCTATGATGTACCCATTGATTCTCTTGTGTGAATCAATCTATAAAGAGATCCTAGTGATCATAACTTAAAGGGAAAGTCCACCCCCAAAATAAGTTTGTTTCGATAGAGGCAGAATAATAAGAAAATCAGGTGAGTAAAAGTTTGAGCAAATTCTGAATGAAAATAAGAAAGTTATGAATTATTGAAGTTGTGATCAATCAAATACAAATTGGCAACTCTGTGACTTATTATACGAGCTCTCCTTCATTTGCTTTGTGCATAATATTCCATAAAATCATGTTTTCTTCGTTACTGATGACGGAATATATATTTGTTCCTTGCAGGGGGAGTATAGAAACATATTTGCAATTATTATATTTAGGGTGCATGTATGGTTGAAATTTTTCTTGAGGGAAAATGAAAATTTTAGATTTTTTTAGTACTGAGCAAATGGAAGTTGAGCTTGCATGATATGTCATAGAGTTGCCAATTTGTGTTTGATTGATCACAACTTCAAAAATCCTAACTTCCTTATTTTTAATCGGAATTTGCTCAAACTTTCACTGACTTGTTTCTCTCATTTTTCTACTCCTATTAAAACTAACTTAATTTCAGGGTGGACTTCCCCTTTAATGTCTTCTGACCTCTGCAACTTCAGAACAGACCAGGTCATAGATAGCACATGGTGCAAATAACCCCAAATATCCACATTATCAATCACTGCCAAGGTGACGGAGATGCTTCATGAATCTACCTTCGTTTGCCCTCTAGGAAAGAGTACTTCCACCCATGCATCATACAATGCACTGTTGGTGCATAATAAATGATTTGAATAAATGATTACATAACTTTTATAAAACACGTCTAATTTCGTGGCAATGACCTTTATCTGCCCGCGTTCATATAGTATCTACAAACTGGCTTATATTGATCTCTCTGCCTCATGACCCTCAATTTTAACCAGCTCATAGCAGATACATATTTGTTTCTGAAAATATTTCAACTAGGACCCTGTGTTATAGAGCGTTGATATTAATCGCAACTCATACGCGATTAATATGAATCACAACTATGTACATGAGAAATAGGGGATAGCATTGTGGACTTGCGATTGATTTGGATCAAATTGGATCAATCACAACTCTTTATAAGAGGGAGGCCCAGGGCCCCACATTGGGGTCCTGATTGAGTCTGTATGCTTATGAACTGTGTTGAAACTTTGACATGTTGGGGTCTAGATAATTAGATTCAGGGCATTCATGTGTCCTGGGAACTTGTTAATGTCAAAATCCCCTCAGAAGAGCAAGAGTGACAACAGATAGACAGGAATTACTGGCAGGAATTATTCAATAGCAGAACCCTTTTCTGCTCTACATACTGTTCTACTCAAAATAATGTCCTGTTATCCTTGTTTTGCCTGGCAAAAATCATCCAATTACCAATCTCCAATAACCAACACAAACAACAATCCGTTTGACCAAGTTTAACGACACAGCACGCAAGTGAAAACACAACACCATTCCGAAAGGTTTTCAAGTCAGATCGACCTTTATTTGATATATTTTTGTGTCCATGGTGGACCCACAGGCAGAGAAATATGCCCCTTTTCATTTTTAAAAATTCTCCAGAGCTACATGCCAACAGTGGAAACAAAGACCTTAATATAAATTATAACCATTCATGCTGTCGGCAAGGTATAACAAGTACCTACAAACCACATGCAGATTGATTTGCAATAATACAAACACTTTTGACATAATCTAGTGAACACCAAATGTACAGTTTCATGAACATCACGAATAATTCTGATTTTTAACTCATCAATTCTAAATAATCATTTAAAAAAAAAAATTGTTTTCAATACCTCAACAACCTGTACTTCTTTAATACCCCTGTTTCCCTAACATGTACATCACTGCCTCAATAATACAAGAAGAAAAAACAAATCATAATAAACATCAAATACTTTTTTTTCTCATTTTTTAAGATATTCACACTTTACAAAGATAATTGTGGCTATAGTGCAACAAAGTGTTTTTGCTAGAAATATACAGTGATGATTAAAAACCTTTCATGGTACTTTATTTTCAGTGACATTACTTGTTTTCGACTTGTACAATACATTGAATTTCATGTGCGTTAACACGACGTGGCCTCTGCAACTGAACGAGCACACGAAAGAGTGTGGCCACTACTACGTCTTCCAATTAAAACAAAATGATGAGAATACAAAGTCCAATAGAAATATCTACATTTCTTGAGCTATACAAAAAAAACAATATTGATATAAATGTATTATTCAGATGCTACAGTCGATTTCTATTGTGAACGATTCCTACAGCTGATATATGTTCTAAAAAGCTATGATGTATAGGCCCATAGTGAAGGGAGTAGGAACACTCCCACTGCACAGCATCAACATTATCAATATATGAGTGGTGCACAGCTCCATTTCAACCAACCCGATACACAATAGGCAGAGTTGATGCCTGTCTGTATAGTGTCTGAAGATTTAGAGCATGCTCCAATTTTCAACAGAATACCATGAATAATAGAAAACGTCTAATTATGATACTGAAATAACCCTACAAAGACACTGAGCAGCATGCTGTGCAGTGGGAACAGTACATACATGTACTAGATTCTAGGTTTAAAACGCACAGCTTTACGGATAAGCACCACAAGCTAAAAAACACTGAAGTAAACAGGCCATTTTCGTAATGTAACCAAAATGAATGCAAAGTCTTTGTGAAGTGCCTCAATACGAAGTATTTCATTCACCTGATAGGAATAATAGCATTTCAATAGACAGAATCAGAACTGCATACATTAGTTGTAGCCAGGTAGGACAAACATTATGGATTGCCCTACCTAGCAACACTAAATATATGCAGTTTGCATTCTGACCATTGAAATATTTTTATTCTTATCAAGTGAATGAAATCATTTGTATTGAGGTACTTCACAAGGACTTGGTTACATTACGAAAATGGCCTATTCCCTTTGAATACGACCCACAGGGCCCGTTTCCTCTGCCCCTGTGTACGTTAAGTGCCACATTTTGCAGGCTGCATGTGCACACACGGACAGCTTTGCAGTGCAAGGATGCTGACGGACTGCTTGCATGTGCATCACCACAACCAGTATCACATTCTGAGAATAAACAGCAGCAGCAACGCTGTGATAACATGTTGATTCGTACATAGTACATGTATGATGTAAACATCATCAACAGTGTGTGATATATAAAGGACTAAATATGTTTGAAACAATAGCCTCCAGGTTTACAATAACTTGGTATATGTTTAGTATTCATCTTCTTAAATCGTATACCGGTAAGCATATTCATGGAATAGTAATGTGTCACTGGCCATTTGACTCACAACAGACATGTACTTTTAACATAATGATGTGACAAATATTATCTTGAACGAAAAGTTTCTATCCAAATGGTTAATACTCTTGTTACCCAAAGTTGACTTTCTTGGTGTTTAATACCCATAGCATTAATATGTATACCCCTTGAAAACAAAAACGATTACCCAACAACAAGTGGAATTTTAACCTCCTAGCATGAAATGGAAGAAGTAAGACGATGATGGGAACTTGGAACACTACAAGTGCAAATTTGCATCTTGCCAGCAAGATAATCAAAAGGTCATTAAGTAAGGTATTATAAATGAATTAATATATTGTTTTCTTTTTCAGTGAATAAGTATCCTGAATAATCTGTGACTTCTATCTTATGGGGAAGTAAACAAGGAAGCTTCTAAGCCATTTTTCTGACGCTCTGCGACTAAATTGACCACATCATTCGTCCTCTATAACATTGACACTGTTTTTGCATTGTGCATTTAGTGGTTGAGGCTGGTGTATAAACATATGCAGACAGATTGTTTCGCCGTGACATTGAGGGAAACTACACACAGAATAATACCCATTGCAGCAAATGTTTCCTAATCTGTACATCGATACTACCCCAATCATACACAAAAAATCCCTTGCCCCCAAACATATAACTGACCTCTTTGTGAAAACAAAAAGCACACGCAAGGATTGAAATCTAGATTAATCGTGCATCGATACAATCACAAATGTAAGTTTCTTCAAAAGAGTTTAAACTACCGTAGGGTTCTAAATCTGGAATATGTCCGTGGCTAGCAAAGTCAATTTTTTTTTTCTTTCTGTTAAAGTGGAAGATGTTGTTTCATATACAGTTCACATAAAAGACAGACAGTTCACATTGACATAAAGATTTTCATGACAATTTTGTCAAAATTAAACGAAAAAAGTGAAGCGAGATAAACAAAAATGTTTTCTCTACCTACGCACAGTGACAGCTAGCACACTGGTTGAATGGAACATAAATGAAATGCATTCTCATAAACAGAACAATTCCTAAAAACGGCGTTCAGTTTACTGCTTTACCTCAAGAAATCAACTTGACAGATATGCTACCACATGACAATATTGTCTGTTTAGAGGCAGAAGGATGTTAAACCTTACACATTAAACAGTTAATGCTATTCTGGCTTCACAGCCATGACATACACCCCAAATTCCATTCCTGAAGCTTTCAACAAACCACTTGTCCTTGTCTATCTGTACATATTTCCTCCAAAATCTGTTTAAACCTAGTTTTGGTCCTATCTACAAAACCTAGATAAAAAAGAACGGATAAACGCTCCTGAAAAAGTAAACATATGGATTGTTGATGAAAACCAAGCTATTTATTTAGTAACAGACAAATGAAGCATCCAAAAATGACTCATATACTGATATTGAGAAAAAAGGTATTACAAAAAATATAAATGAATCAGTATGAGTATGTATTAGACGTTTTACTATTTTATCTACGTATGTAGTGATTATCATCTCTTTGTAATCTGTTGTTAGGGATCTTATTGGTTATGTGTGATTAAAAAAGATCACGATCAACATTTTATATATATTTAAATGCCATTTAATTCTTCTTGGTAACAAACGTAGGTGCCAGAGAAAGAAATGAGGGCAGACTCGTGAATTCAACGCTAATTGCAATAACTAGATACACGACGACAGTATTGAATAACAAATTGGTTTAAAATGTCAAGAGAAAACACACACTATCTTTCTGACCAGCATACATCCATATAACTATTAACACGACCTGATTCAGATTCAAAACAAAGTCTCCCTTTCTTCCTCTTTTGTATAAAAATGACCTCGAGATTGAGATGTTTGGCCTAAACTCTACTTCATTTTCATTCAGAAGATATGCCTACTTTTCCTGTGATTTCCAAAACTAAATGGAGTGATTTGCGTATACATTTTAATGTCGTGGATTCTCCATATTTGTATATCTGCATATTGGAAATATCTACATGAAAAGAAAGAATAAAATATTGAATGCAGCTCTTTGAAGCAGCATGTTAATCTGTCGCACTTTTCGTCGCTCCAGAACACAAATAGAGGAGAGGGCCGACAGAACAAACGTAACAATTATGAAATTTATGTATATGATGAATATTAGGGCAAGTCCAAGAGATGTCCCATATGCATATGTTATCAAGTATTGGTGAACTGTATTACGGAACTGTGAACTTAACTTGACATAAAACTCAAATTATGAAATTCACGTATAATGAATATTGGGGCAAGTCCAAGAGATGTCCCATATGTTATCAAGTATTTGTGAACTGTATTTACGGAATCGTGAACGTAACTAGACATGAAACTCGCATCTCATTTTTTGTTTGATTGCGATAACCGTTACACAGTCAACAGGTGAACTGAAATCTAGGATGTGTTCGGTAAAGCAAGGAACAAAACAGCTCAGACTTGCCCGTTTCTTTTTAAACCTTGTTGAGTTAATACCATTATTGAGCACACATTGAATGACAAATGACGAGGGTTTGCATCTTTTGAAAGAAGGGCACTTGAAACAACATTTTTTTAGGAGGGGGGGGGGAGAGGGGTGAATACAGGGCAAGACTTGAACAAAGCCACAAGATCTCTCAAGTCTCCACTGCCATGAAAAATGGCTGACAGGCAACCATCTTTTCTTCCCCTATGGTCTCCAAATTAGCCAAAAAATTATAAACTGATTCATCAATTGACTCGTTTACTTTCTCCTAATAACAAAAGCAATAGGCTACTACCACATCAGGAATCTGTTTTAGTGTTTCTATGCCAATCCATTGTATAATTCATTTTTTAAAAAGTAGTCTTCCTTATTTTTAGCCACTAACATCTCTTTCAAAAATCAAGTAAGTAATGATTGATTTCACGGTAGGCATGTCGAGGTCAAGTTTCTAAGTGATTACATAAATCTAATCGCCGATTTGGGCAACAAAATAGTAATAATTGATGTTTACTGCTGTAACACAGCAAGACTATAAAAAGGAGGGGAAAAAAAAGGAAGAAGAAAAGTATACTTGTATTTAGAAGATGGCAATACATTTGACAATATCTAACTCAATTTGTGCTTGGACAGTGAGGGCAATCTTAGGTTTTCCCGCAAACATCAGACAACTGCCTTGAAATGAGAAAATATACATATACGCCTGAATGTACCCCATGCACACCGATGAGGAGTAGAGTTGATTCCAAGGTAGAGACCTGCGATTGTCTTTCAAAAAACGTTCTAAAGTCATCACCCCCACGTATATTATTTCATGTGTGTGTCCATGAGTAAAACTATACCCTTTCTATCCACCAGCATGCGCCCTTTGGCACACACATAAAGTAATGGCAGGTAGAATGGTTTCTTAACAAAGCTATTTCACAAATTCATATCCTCATACTTTTTAAATCTATTAAATTTCATCTTCTGCATTTTAAATTCTCTCATAATAGAGTAACAATTTCTGTACATGGCAATCCTCGCATCTTTTTCTCCATCATATCTTTTTTGTTTTTTGTACATACAATAATAAATCACAGAGAGAACAAAAAAAGTAGAGTTTGTCCAAACACTGGAACAGGGTTAGTTTCGTCCTCCCATTAACGATGGATGAGGAACAAAAGAGACCCGCGCCTGGAGGCAACGAAGTGGAGAAGAGGAGGGTGGCGGCTCAGAAGTCGGCAAACTCTTTGACGCACTTCTCTGTGAGCGAGATCTTGAGCGCTTCCTCCTCGTACTCGTCGAACTGCGAGGCGTCTCCTGGCCCCTTGACCCGTGGTACAAATGGAGCATCCACCTGAGTGAGGAAGGAACAAAGGCAAAACCAAAAAAGATTTGTTAATTGTGAAAACTAAAGGCTCGTTTTAGCATGACATTAATTTGTAGGAAGGAATTCCTTAAAATGCTGTGAGCATCAAAATCGTTAGCCTAGCTAGAACCAGGGTACTCTTGGAGTACCTTGCTTGGAGCGCATTTGAAATATTCAATATAATATTTTGATTGTTTACACATACCCTAGTTAAGGCAAATAAAAAGGTCTGTGAAAAAAAGTGATGTTTCTTTCAATTTCCTCAGAGAAGGTTGCTTTTACCTAAATGAGAGCGAGTTTTCTTTAGGTAATCGTAATACAGTCAAACCCGTCTATAGCGACCGCCCAAGGGAAACACAAAAAGTGGCCTTTGTAGACAGGTGGTCTTTGTAAACAGGTTCCTTCAGTGCATGTTTCAATGAGAAACCATTTTCAAGGGACACAACAAATGTGGCCTTTGTGGACAGGTGGTCTTTGTAGACAGGTGGTCACTAAAGTAGGTTTGACTGTATATTTGTTTGATTTTGTTTCAAATGGAGCTCTTTTAGAGATATTCAAGGCTAAAGTGCTTAACACTCCCCTGAATTTATTGGTGTTCATGACTTTGAATACGTGGTAGCCTGGTCTATCGGAGTAAGCTTTCAAAACATAACAAGAATAGAAACAAGCTACAGGGCCCCAGAGAGGACAGGCGCAAAAAAATGATACTGAGTCGTTAGCACCACTTACAAGTCCTTCTCACCACTAAACACTTCTTTTAATAGTAAATGGTAGGAATGAATTACAAGTGATAGAAACTGGGAAGAGACAGAGAAATTCCCCAAGAGGAAGATTAAATGGGGGTCCAGGGCAACTTTCAGATTATCATTAATTGTACATCTCCGCAGAAAACATTAGAATATATTTAAGTAAAAGGACACGTTTTCCTTGCATTTAAATTCTAAATTTGAGAAATATTGGACGCCCCATCTTGCTTAAAGGTATTACAAAGTTTTGGTATGGGGTCATGAATTTGGTTCAAATTAACATATTGGAAGCGTATGCGTTCCTACAATATTCATTGATCGTTGTCGCGGTTGAAATCGAGTCTAAAGTTATGAAATTGTAAATAATAAACTTCTTATGTTGTATAGCTCCCTCTCAAGGTCAAGATATTAATTTAGCTATGGAACAATATTTCTTGACTAAAATCAACCAATTAGCTATTCCCATTTAGAAATTATATATCACAACTACGTATTCTGAGATTTTCATTGTCGCAGCCCCCATTGTACGGCCATATAGGCGCTATTTGAAATTTATCAAAATTTACCGGGAGCACCGGTAAATTTTTAAATTCATTTTTTCTCGAAAACAGAAGTGTTTTAGGGGCTAATTTTTTTAGTGCTTATAATACACCCACAGGGGCATCCAAATATATCAAAATTGTAAGGATTCACTATCCACCCAATTTTCAAAATTTCCCAAAACTTTGTATTACCTTTAAAGGGACTCTATAACATTGTTCAGAAGAGAGACAAATGCTGCTAAGGAAGTGAGGTCAATGCTAGATGTACAATTAATGATAATCTGAATTTTTTCTTCCCTCCTCCCACCCACCCACCCCATCTTAGGATCTTGAAACCGGCGGGAATCTCATCCCTGTAGGATTGACTAGTAAAAGGCGGTAATGGCTTATTATCACTTCGCGGTGTTCCTCTCCCGAGCTTTACAAGAAGCCTGTGAGGGGAAGGTGTAAACTTACCCTTTGCTGGTAGATGGCTATCCAGTCAGTTGATTGAAACCACTTGTGGAGCTTGATGTCGGCCACGCCGGCCTTGAGGTTGCCATAGCGCTTTGTCAGGTCAACCTGCAGCAAGCTGCGCAAGATGTCCTTGAGGTCAGCACTGAAGTGAGAGGGAAAGCGAACCTAGGAGAAAAGGACGGAGATGAATATTATTTGGAGATATTCATACCTGCCAACCTGAGACAAGAGAAATTAGGAGTAAATTTTTCTGGATGGACTACGAGGTCGCGAACCACCGAAGGATTGGGGTAGTACTAGTAGCCCGTAGATTGGGGGGGGGGGGGGGGGCAGAGATGCCAACCCTATAGGATGGCTGTCAGTAACATTTACCATATTTGTCCGTAACAAATGGGGGTCTTTCCGTAACGCAAGACACCGCAGCATAATTTTCGCGCAAAACGTACACAAACATCCAATCACTCTTACTGCATTTCGAACCTACCATATTCAAGTCCAAAATAAAGATGTGCATAAAAACGTTTTTAAAAATCTGTTTCCAGTCAAAGGATCTCCTTCTCGGGTACTCGCTCTTTTGAGTGAATCCATGATAATATTCAGGAAGAAAACACCTCGTTCAAGCGTCGAATGGCAAATTCGAATCCACAGTCAAATGGCAGAGCTCGTATTCTACACACGCACACGTACACTCACCAGTACCACAGACACACCATACAGCCGGCCCAGGCCGCTAGGCCCGGCGTTCATGAACAACAACACACCGTATACCGCACTGCACTTGCAATGCGCCCGCTGAATCACCGAAGTCTTCGCTACTATATTGCGGGCGCCATGCGCACGATCATCTACCCCCATGCTCCCCTCAAAAGGCACGAACGCACGTAGCATACGTAGCGGCCGTGTTGTTTTGGAATTAAACAAGATGGCGGCGGACGGACCATGTGCGCGAAAGTGTCTATCCAGTGTAGTCAAATTCAGTGAACCTATGAGTGAATGCGTGCGACATGCAGCGCTGTGTGCGGAGGCTATGTGATAAGGCGGCATTCGCTATATAAAGTACTTTTGTTTATCGTTTCCCCGTAAGGCGTGATCTGGTTATCAGTGCTGTGTTATGCTTTAGTCTTATGCAACAGTCGTTTGTTTTAAAAATATTTTAAAATTACAAAAAATCGGAGTTTTGAGGCATGCAATCGGAATTCGGAGTGGGTATGAAAAAAGCGGAGTAACTCCGCCTAAATCGGAGTGGTTGGCAGGTATGGATATTGTAAGTAAACCTCAAAAGACAATACTGATCTAACAAATCTTGTATTAAAGGCATCGTTTAAAAATGTTAAATCTGAGATGCATGGCCCTACGTATTATCAGTGTCTGCATACCTGCCAACATTTGAAAATGAGAATTAGGAATGTCTTCAAAAATAAGAAATCTGTACCCTTAACAGACATTCGCACATGCAGCGGCAGTGTAACTAGCAATAAATGAGCTTCAAAATGATCATGAAGTGCCTCAAAAAAAGTAAAAATCTTTGAGTGACTGGTTTTCCCCAATAGACTGTAGTGTTATAAAAACAGTTAGGAAAAAGGTTTTTGAAATTTTGATTTCCAATCATAAATATCTTGATAATCAGACAGGCAATCGGCTTGTAAAAGTCATGGGATTTCTGACTGACCTAAAGGTTTATAATTATGATTGTAGCATGAGCTAAATCCAGGATTTTGTTTAGAATCTGAGGCAAAGATACCCAATCCCTTTAAAAAAGGACCAATCACTCCTTCATAATCATGTACGCAATGCCCTACCCGCAAGCCGCGACAGGCCATTTTTTAGCTTGCGGGTTGACATCTTTTAACCAGTGCAGGGCAGCGTAGGGCTAGCCAGAGTTTAAAATTACAGAAGTGGTCCTAATTGTGTAAATTCACTCAAAGAGATTGATTATTATTATATCAGCGCCCATTTATATATTGAATTTAGATACACACCCATCAATTAATTCTGACTGAAAATTTGGCCTGATCTTGGACAAAAATAAAGACAAATGATAATCTTTTGGCCAATAAGTTACCAAAATGACCATTTTGTTGTAGATGGAGGTCAAATTGACACTTTTTCTAGCATCAGGGCACATTTTTACATACATCTTGTTTGCTGGTAATAACGAGTGAGAAAAATTACCAGACCTAAAGTGACCATAATAGTAAGTTTTGCCCCCCAAAGTAGCTAAAATTACGAAAACGTAGTGAGTAGGGTCAATATGGTTCAGGTCTTGCAACTTTAACACCAAACAAAATGAGAAAGCGTATAACATATTCTGCAGCTTTCCCACAACTCCACAATCTGTCTAACACCATACCTTTCCTGAGACGATCTTCTCGTAGATCTGGATGGGTTGATCGGCAAAGAATGGGGGATACCCTGCTGCCATTTCATAGATGAGAACCCCCAATGCCCACCAGTCTACTGCCTTGTTGTATCCCTGGATGGAGGAAAGAAGATGAGAAAGACATAGTTAACAACTGAATCATTCATACCCTTGTAAATTTGATGTTCTTTATATTTGTCATGACTCAAGAATGAAAGGGGGATAAAGAAGAGAAAGACATACAAATTAAAAACTGAATTATCCATACCCCTTGTAAATTTGATGTTCTTTATGTTTTACATAACTCAAGAATGAAAGGTGGACTGGTTAAAGCGTATCTGCCATAGTTTTACAGGAGGGATTAGACTGCCCTGCAGGGTCACTGGACAGGTGGTTATCTCATCAACTCAGCTCTCAGTTAACATAAGAAAAAGAGGATCATGGGGGACCAATGGTCACCGATTAGGCATGGTTTGTTATATAGAGGGCGCAAGTAGCTACAAGTAGTGTAGTGGGCCTTTAAGTTAGGGCCTTTGTTGAATACTGTTAGATGTACCGGTAAGCTTTAATTTGTCAGGTTCTCCCAAAAGATCAACTGGGGATAGGTCAATTTTTCGCATACTTAAAGATTACAAAACTTGTTATGGGTATGAATAATATTGTTAAAGGTAAAGACCAGTTATGGTCATGCGATTGCATTGTGAAAGAAACGTTGTGGAATCGATCAGAAAAGGTTGATCATCTAGCATCTGCAAGGTTCTGGAATCATCAAAATGATAAGAAATTTGGCCCATTCTTCGTAAAGTTACAAGCACTATACACAGAAAGATGTATATGGGACTACCCTATATCTCTCACAGACCATGAGAGAAACAAATTTACCAAATATATGAATTAGTAGGCGGTTTCCCGGCAAATTTTTTATCATCATGTATTAGTCAAAACATATTCTTTCATATGATTGGTAATGAGAGCTTCCATTTCATTTTTTGAAATTGGGGCGTTTCCAATACTGGTCTTTACCTTTAACTGTACATTGTCTGTTTGGGGCCAGAAGGGCATTAACTTGTATACATAAATATAGAGTACAGGCCCTTCTGGCTTATAACAGATGACATATTAACGAGTATGACCAAAATATTTTTATGATCTTGTATAGTTTCATACAGACTCCATTATAATAATTCATGGAATACTGAACACGTTTTAACTGATTTTATAAATGACAGATATACATGGCAATCTTGGCTGAGTGAGCACCAAAATAACCAGGCCTTTTAAGGTTATATGGGAACAAGGCCTGTTCTGTTGAGTGGTTTACTACTTCAAGTGTGAATGGGTCTTTACCTTGCTGAGGATGATCTCCGGGGCTAGATACTCTGGTGTACCACACAGGGTCCATGTCCTACCCTTCACTCTCTTGGCAAAACCAAAGTCTGTTACCTGGTGGAAGAAAAGAGTTTTGAGAAACATAGATGTTAGGCATTGTGGTCTAGTGGATATACAGTCAAACCTGCTTTAGTGACCACCTGTCTACAAAGACCACCTGTCTACAAAGGCCACATTTGTTGTTTCCCTTGGAAATGGTTTCTCATTGAATCATGTACTAAAGAAACCTGTCTACAAAGACCACCTGTCTACAAAGACCACCTGTCTACAAAGACCACCTGTCTACAAAGGCCACTTTTTGTGTTTCCCTTGGCTGGCCACTATAGACAGGTTTGACTGTAGTACGTCATTGGACAGTGAATCACATGGTTTGCTGATCAGGTCCCACCACGGCACTTATGTCCTTTGTCAAGACATTAATCCACATTTGCCACTCTCCACCCAGGTGCAGTAAATGGGTACCTGGTAGGAATCTATTCCTTGAATGTTTTGAGTACTTTAGGGCAACAGCCAGGGTGAAACACTACTTTGTAGGTGCTTTGAGTATCCCCTTGGGTGGATACATGCCCAATATGTATGTATATATATATATATGTAGCTTATTATTATTACTATTTATTTCATTTCAACAAATTCTACATTGTATCTTTCAAATACATGGTATATCCTTAATCTTCGCTAAAACCGAACCCCAAGTAATAACTTTACTTATTCTGAGAGATTTATTATATTATTGCCCATAAATCTACAAGATTCCCCACCAAAGTTTATGAGAGAGGAATAAAGCAAAAATAAAGTACAGTTTCTCAACACGACATGGGCATCGCCATTTTCTTGATAATGTGACGTTACTGACGTACTATGCGACGTCGTTTATCAAGTAATGTATTCAAATTTATGGATGCTTCTTTCCCAGACGTGTGTGGTGATGAAGCATTTCATTCACCTGCTATTATCCTTTGTACTATAATTGCCAGAACGTAAATTGCATAAATAAATTAATGCTCTTCTGGGGTGAAGGTTTCTCATAAATGAAATAGATTTGTCAACTGCTATAGTGTAGTAATTATAAATGAATTTTGTTACAATTGTGCCCGTATTATTTATTTTTCACCTAATATAATTTCTATCATCACATTTATTTTTTTTAAATTGATAAGTAAAGGTATCGTTATTGATTTAAAAATTCTTTCCAACTGAAACTTGGTGCATGATACATGTACAACTTCAACAGGTATGTCACATTTTCAAGAAAATGGCTGCGCCCATATCATGCTGAATGGCATCACATCATGCCAGGAATATCTTCATTTATATATATCTTGTACATTTTCGCAAGGAATATTGTACATCAAAGGGCAGGAATACATCTCATTTTTCAGAATACCTACACTTATTCTTTGGGTTTAGGTTTCCTTTAAGACGACAAAAAAGACTTGTGACAGAATCGAGATTTACTAAATCAAATGATAATATATTCTGCCGTTCAAATATGAGGCACATTTTGTAATTATCATGATTTTTTCTTACAAACAAAATTACAGATTTATTTCATCAATGTTTCATGAATTCAATAGCTTGATTTCAAGTTAAATACTGTATCATCGCACCCAGTGCTTTGTTTATTTCTCCCCAACTGTCCTCTTTTACTTCCCTTCGTAGAACATTCATTCTCCCTATCCCCTTTTCATCAATCACAGAAATCTGGGGCATATTTGTTCAAGAGTAAGTTGGAGCCTGAGCCCCGTAGAACGGAAGATCCTCAACAAATATATATTCCTCTGACGTCACCCAATGACGACGAAACATACCCCCTCGCTCGCATAAATGTCGCTAAAACGTGGGCTCGGAGGGCATTCCCTTATGTCATTAAGGCGGGAGTGGAGGGAAAGGTAAAGGAGTTGGTATCACTCACTGCAATGTAACCATTCTCTTGGATTAGGATGTTCTCCGGTTTCAAATCTCTGTATATAAGGTCCAAGTGGTGGAGGTACTCGAAGGCAAGGACAATCTGGGCTGCATAGAATCGGGAGTGTGGTTCACTGCAGGAAGAGAGACGAAACGGAACAAAAGAGAGAGAGAAGGAGGGATGGTTAAAAAAGACGTCATAAATGAATATACCAAGATCTTGAGCGAAGGTTCTGCAAGATGAGTATTGATCGAAATACAGAGAATCCAGTAGGGCTTATAAAAATGCAATATGGATTAAGTGAAGGCCTAAAGCCTCACAACAATTCCAAAGTGAAAGAATGTTGTAATCCTGCTTTTACAGGAAATTCTGAACTCTTGCACAATATAAAACTATCGCTCCATGTACCGTTGCTTGAAAATATTCACCATCGACTAGTAGTAATTGAGATATATGGTCATATTAATTACAATATCTTACTGAAATATAAGGCAAATTAATTGACATCATACATGTTGATGTCAAATTACATCTAACTGCATATGTATTTACAGAAAATTCATTTCCTCAAACAAAGAGAAATAGGATTAAATAGGACCATCATACTTTATAGCAAGTACAATGACCTTTGATTTACAAATCATGCAAATACTACTTATGCCCTTCCTATAACGTTTGGAATAGTATAAATTTAAACATGTGTATCATTACAAAATGCTAACCAAATATAGGAATGTAGGGGAACACTCCTGCATTTTACTTCCTCATGCATGTTTATTTGAATGTAATAATAATATTACATTTATGAAGCGCCTTTCATTAGATACAAAGTGATAAACAAGAAATAGTTACAACCAAACAAAGAAAGAGATCATTTTCATACAATGCTTTACATTAATCACTTTTCTATACAATTAAAATAGATATGTTAAAAAGACAATCATATTTTCCAGCAAATTCATCATCACATTAATAATGTGCTCTACTGTATATCTTCTGTGAACTTGAAGATAGCTCTTCAAGTTCAGATCAGGGACATACATTCCGAACGTTTCGGGAGCTGTGGGAGGGGGAAGCGCAAGACGTGAAACATACATGTTCATGTACATAAGCCAGCCAGCACTCAGTGGAACATTAGCGTTCATGTTCAAGACCCTACACTGCTCTTCCTACAGGCTTGGTATCGTTTGTACACCTTTGAGAGTCAGGAGGGCATTAGGTCTGTGCGACATGATATGGGATAACGCCCTTCTGGCTCTCAGCAGAGGCGTTGATCACCTTCCCTGTCACAGGCAATTGGACATGTTGTCTCAATCCAGATGCCTACCAATGATGTCTATTTTAGATCACTGATTAGAATATCAGTCAGCGCTATGTAAGCGTAGGCCAGGGCTTAGGGGTGTAGAGAATTAATAGACAGCCAAAGAGAGAGAGAGAGAGAGAGAGAGAGAGAGATGTGGAGAGAGATGGAGAAAAAGAGATAGGAAAGGTTGTCAGTTTAGTGTAAAAGAGAAAGAGCAAAACAGAAAATGTGACTGTGTGTGTGTGAGAGAGAGAGAGAGAGAGAGAGAGAGAGAGAGAGAGAGAGGGACAGAGAGAGAGGGGGGGGGGGGAGAGAGAAAAGCAAAACAAAACAAAGAAATATTGTAGATAAAGAAAGGAGATAGAGAGTGGGGGAGGGAAAAACAGATGGTGACAGAGAAAGAGACACGTAGAATGAGAGAGGGAGAAACATAGAGAGAAAGAAAGAGAGAAAGAGAGAGAGGGGGAGAAAGAAAAAGAGAGGGAGGGATAGAGACAGAGACAGGCAGGCAGACAGACAGAGACAGAATAAGCGAAACATTCTGAAACCATTAGCATTACACTCCTTCTGGTGGCGAAGCATATCAGTGCATGCTCCCCAGATGTGCACCAATGCAATTCAATCTGTATTAGATGTGTACATGTAAAATGTAGGGCCTCTACTACATGTAGATGTACTGTACTGTGTAGTACATGTACACTGCTTAGATTTCCAGGATGGTCGTGAACAGAATAATACTGATGAGCTTCCGATACTCAGGGGCAGTAAATTACAATTCTGGGGCGTAAATTTATGTTGTAACATGTTCATTACATGTACATTACAGTATATACTGCACGTGTAGCATCAACGGCATTTCTGAAAGCAATACGATCACATCTTGGATATTCATGTAATCTAAGGTTAAGATAGTTCAAATGCTTTGAATTATGCACTAGCTACATTGTATATGTACTTAGCACAGTCTTACATGTATCTATCTTTTGAAGGGAAGACAAATGTCTTAGTCCATGTACATTGTATTCAGTTGTCCCTAAATAATTCTTTCAGGAAATTTCCTGAGGAAAACAACCTGACCTACATTATATGAAATGAGAGAGAGAGAGAGATAGAGAGAGGGTGAGGGGAAGAGGGAGACAGACGGAGAAAGAGAGAGAAAGAGAGAGAAAGAGAAATAGATTAAATCTTAGTAACGGCAAAGTGGTAATATGTAGGTACACTGTAAATGTAGGTATATTTCACAAGAAAATATATGTCTCCAAAAAATGGAAGTAGTGTAGACGACATACTACAAGAGAGCAGCCTTCCATGCATACCAGTCAGAATACAAAATGAAATGAACTTTACATGTAAATTTAAAATAATAAAATGCAGTTGTCAACTATGTCTTCCTTACAATGGTTGAACACAATCACCATTCCATCCTCACTGTGCTAAAAGGACTTGGCAAAGCACACACTCTTCAAAATTAGGAGTACATATCAACCATGGAATTAGACCATAAGAGGTGGATGGGTGAAGGTTAGTTCTTTCAACAAATTGAAATATCCAATATCATTGAAGGCAAATTTGTAGGTTTTTTTTCCTTTTTTCTGGACTTGAAATGGACTGCAAATCGTCTATTTCCTATATATATTAATGCCCCAAAATTCTTCTTTATTATTGTCAGCAAAGCCTACAAACTTGAGGCCCTACCGTTTTTGCTGGTTGGAAAAATATATCTGAAGTATACTTATAAACCAAGAATCTAAATTATATCAAGGTATAAAATATCAAAAATACTATGTTTCACTATGGGACTCATAATTTATCCTTATGACCTCTTACTTGTAATTGTAAAACAAAGCAATTTAATTTATATCTAATAACGAATAAGTATGAAAATATGAGACAATACATTTCAACTAACAATTCTGTAGGCATCTTGATTTCAATTCAGCCCAGGATCAATCCCGACACTTCATTTAAAGTTAATTATAATATACTGAAAAATAGGTGACAATAAAAAAAAAATGCAATGTATAATACTGAGTACTACTACCTACAATTATGTATTACCATAGCCTCTCTCGCATTTTCACTCTTCCTAAAAGATTGGGTGGAATGCACCGTGCCCCTAATGTATTTATATTTGCGTATTACTAATATTTATACTACATGAACATTTACATGTAAGTATGTACCAGCATGCTTTTCATGCATACATCAATGACATTAGATTATCAATTCCTCCTCTTTCATAAAAATAGCAGACATCAATCACTTCTACATTGTATATATATTTGTACATGTATATGTTCTTGTGCAACATATAGCTACATGTACAGTATGTAGGGAGGGCTACAAGTAAAGTTTAGTACACATACAGTCAACAACTAAATTATTCATACCCTTACCAAAATGTGTAAGTTTTAAACTATGTGAAAAATGGATTTGCCCCGATTTATGTTTCTTGAAAATGTGACAAAAATCAATGCTCGCATCTGAAAGTATATTCAACAAAGGTCCTAATTCAACTAGTATGTGAGTTACAAAAATCACACACAAAAAAAAAAACATCAAAATTTACGAAGGGTATGAATAATTTAAAAGTTAACTGTACATGTGCAGTCATACTACTTGAAGGTACATACTTCTCACTGGTGAGCATTATCACATTGACAGACTGTATACACAAAGTATACAGGTCATCAATTCTTTGAAGGTAAATATGTCAACACTTCAGTACATGCAATATGTGCATTTCTTGGAACTGGTTCTGAGACTGCAGCTAAGTCAATATATCTTCCCAAGGTCTACTAGCTGCATGTGATCGTCTGCATAAATGGACATGTTTGGGAAAGATCGTCAATCGTGTTGCAAACATATCGTAATGCAAATGAACACTTGTACCTGTACTGTGTATGTACATGCACATGCAATGTGATTCATGTTTGTAACCCTAAACATGTAGCCGACATACAATGTACATGTACATGTGTTTTTGCTAAATACAGTAAGAATCAAGTCTAGATGTAAAATAACAGGTGAATATATTTCAGCCAGATACATTACATTAAAGGGATCCGGTAACTTTGTCTCGGATTCTGAAACAAAATTCTGGATTTAGCTCATGATGCAATGATAATTATAAACCTTTAGGTCAGTCAGGAACCCCATTACTTTTACAAGCCGATCGCCTGTCTGATTATCAAGATATTTATGATTGGAATTACAAATTTTGAAAACCGTTCGCCTGACGGTTTTCATAACACTACAGTCTATTGGGGAAAACGAGTATGGTAAAACCGGTCACTCAAAGATTTTTTACTTTTTTGAGGCACTTTTTGATCATTTTGAAGAGCAATTTTTTTAGGGCTTCAATATTACACCACATCACAGACACTGATAACATGTAGGGCCTTGTATCTCAGATTTAACATTGTTAAACGATCCCTTTAACAAACATAATTCATGTTGATGTACATACATGTGCATGTAAGGCCTACAGGCTACATGTACATGTATGTTTCTACCTACAAATGTACATGTTCATGTATATTTGAAGTCTTACATGTATTGCAGTTACAGGTATAAGAAGTCATATTTTGTACACACATATATATGTACACATATGATATTTTTGTTTTGAAATGGGAGTCATATACATGTATGTATCTAGCTAAAATTGGCAGGTCATTATAATTTAGCCAAAACAATTTACTTTCATTCATGCTGAAAATAAAAGTAGCCATCATAATATATATGCTTATTTGAACAAATTTTTATGTATTAAATGTACTTATATGTTTAATGGGCATCAAGTCTAAATAAACAAAGAGGGGTCATGT